ATATATATATATCGAATGTATTTGTATATAAAGAAGTATACATCAATTTGTAAAAATAATTAATGTAATAACGTAATACATTGTGAAAGAAATTAATTTGAATTTCAGCCGAGAGTCTCAAAGTTATGTCCCTTTCCAATTCCGATAGAGATGCTTGTGGTTGTAATTGGTACTGTGATATCGATGCAAATGGATCTTGCGGATACTTATAACGTAATAACGGTTGGCGTTATACCAGTGGGGTAAATGAGCCTTTCAAACTTGCATTTGACTCACAACTTGTAGTAAAAAATCTTGTTTGTTATCTTTTTATACAGCTATGTTGAAATTATATAATTTACTAAATTATAATTACTAAATTATAATTTACCAGGAAATTAGAAATTTCTTATAAAATTACAACAAGTTGTGAAAGTTAAACATTCAGAATATTTACTTCACATTATTATAATATCAAAGTTTTCAGATTGCCAGTCCCGTCTGCACCACCGTTGTCTCTCATACCCAACATTTTAGTAGATAGTATTGTGATTACTATGGTCGCTTATACGATATCGATGTCTATGGCATTGATTTTCGCGCAAAAGGAAGGCTATGAGATCGATTCCAACCAAGAATTGGTGGCGCAGGTAAATCTGATTGCATCCATAGTATTTATATGGAGTATAATATTTGTAAATTTAATGAATAAATATATAATATAATATATAATTTATTATATTATGTATAATATAATAAATAAATATGTTTGCAATTTTAATTAGCATATCTTTAATTAGAAGAAAAATGATTGACATATACGTAAGTAAATCAGTGTTCTATGCAATAACGCGAAATGTTTATTTCAGGGACTGGGAAACCTTGTAGGTTCTTTTTTCTCTTGTATGCCTATCACAGCTTCGTTATCCAGATCGTTGATTCAGCAAACTGTAGGTGGACACACACAGCTGGCGAGTTTGATATCGTGTGGAATTCTAGTGAGCGTGTTGCTGTGGATCGGCCCGTTCTTCCAACCTTTGCCACGAGTAATTATTCTTTTTGCCCTTCTTGTGTATTACTATACAAGCATGAGATGGTGATCAAAATGCATTTTGACACTTGTGGAATCTACAGTGTGTTCTAGCGAGCATAATAGTGGTAGCGTTAAAAGGGATGCTGATGAAGGTCACCGAATTCGTGAAATTCTGGAGGTTGGATAAAATAGATGCCGGCATTTGGGCTGTCACTTTCATCGTCGTGATTCTTTTTGACGTCGAGTATGGATTATTAGTCGGCATACTTCTATGCATCGGAAGGTTACTTGTCCTCGCAATGCGACCTTACACGTGTAAACTCGCTCTGGCACCAGGCACTGAGCTCTACTTGGATGCCAAAAGATACAAAGGGGTATGAAAAACTTATAATTCGAAAAAAAAAGCTATTTCTCCTCGATATTTTATTTCTGTTTTTACATTGCACATATGTCAAATCTTTTAATCTTTACACTGAGATTCGATTAAATCTTTTTTATGGTTTAATAAATTAAATAAATTATTTAATGCTAAGTTAAAAATGTTAAAAACAGTTACAGTTTAGAGATTAATAAAAAAATTTAAAAAATGCTCAATAGATGCTCGATAAGTCATTGAATAAATTTGTTTCAGACTGTAGAGATTCCTGGCATCAGAATCTTCCACTATTCCGGAAGTCTGAATTTTGCGTCTAGGCAATACTTTCGTGAGGAAGTATACAAGGTTGCAGGGATAGTACCTCAAAAGGAATTAAACAGACGACAAAAAGCCGCATGCAACGGCACTGTGGCGGAGGAAATTAAAAAGGTAAACAATGTATAATTTATACTTTTGAAACCATCGTATTCGTATAGGAGAATATTATACTATATGTCATACGTGTGTGTATGATTATTATTTGTGTAAAAAAAAAAAACTGATTATTTTTATTATATTTGTTACGTTATTTTTAAATATCTTGCCTACTTATAATCTTTACAGCTACGCATTCTTATATTGGATTTCTCTGCATTGTCACATATCGATCTGGCAGGTGCGAACGCATTGCGAAACATTGTCGACGAATATTGCGCCATACAAGTATCTATGTACATTGCAGGTTGTTCTGGTAAATATATTTAAGTTAATTTTCAACATAAATTTCTATAATCTTTTTTATTAAATATAATTGTCCGTAAATTTAATTCATCGCGCAAAAACATAATTAAAAAATGAATCTTACAATTATCTCATTTCTATTATCGCATATAATAAATAAAAAAATTATTCCTACAAAAAAAATCTGTATTCATTGGAATTTAATCGTTCGGCACAACAAGAAAAATTATAGATTAATTAATTCTTATCAATAAGATTTAAGGATTTGTATCGATTGTAGGCCCGGTGTACGAAACCATGAGGAAGTTTAACCTGACCGAGTACAATGAGAACCATTTCTTCGCTATGTTCCCCACTGTTGCTGATGCAGTACATTTTGCGCATTCTCATACCGAAGTGCCTTCGACACCCGCATGGAGCACTCGCATTCACGATGAGAACTATATTAGCAGACTCTGAGACCCGAGAAACGAGAAGTTGCTTACTCCGAAAAGCGTTTCATAAACGCTTCTAATATGCGAATATTTATATGTCTTATCGCTTTATTATTTATCGCTTCGCAATTATTGTTTATTCATCTAAGGGAGAAAATGATTGTACTCAATGCTAAGATGACTGACTACTCACAAACAGTATTGACGTTTTTTTCTGTAATTTAGTTGCATTTCATAAATTCATCGAGAGTCTATATTTATATGTGATATTTAAAAAGAGATCAAACTAACAAATCGCCTTTGAAACAATATCTTCAAAAAGACACATTATAATCAAAATTTTGTTATATATAAGTAATATAATAAAATATTCATCATGATATATCATCAAATTAAATAATAAAAATTATAAATTCTACTTTTATCTCGAAGAAAAAATGTTAAAGCTATGAGCTAATTTTACTATTTGATATTAATTTTTGCTATCTTTTTTGTTAAAGTCGATTATTAATTGCATTGATGTTATTTTCCTTATTATTTATATTTATGTGTTGCTTGAGGGAAATCGACTAAAATTTCACTATCAAATGAAAAACAAATGTTTTGTTTGTTGACAGTTATCTGATCTGATTGGTGAACAAACTTTATTAAATAACCGTGAAATATTTATCAACTGATACCACTGAATATCAATATGACTTAAATTTTGTAATAAAATTAAGAGAATTTTGTAATAAAATCACGTCAAATACATTTAATTGCTCAAATAATCTAAATAGCAGTTAATTTATATTTTTCATTTATGTTAAAAGTAATTAAATTTTCAAATAAATTGAAATACAATGGAAAATTAATTACATAACTTTCTAATCCAGATGAGAATTTAAAAAAATCTGTAAGAAAAATATATTCCTTTATTTCGTAAGAAATTAAATAAAAAAAATGATAATCCAGGACAATAATTATAAACATATTTCAGCTATGCCTACAGAGACTTTTTTTTTAAAGCTTTCTCTTTGTAGTAAAACTGCAAAAAATAATTATAATTAAATTTAATTCTTTGAAACGTATAGTTTTCTGACTATGTATGTTCATAAATATTTGTAAACTATTCTTTGATTTTAAATTAATGCTTACAAAACTAGTATAATTAAATAAAATAAAAGAAAAAAGATACAAGTGTAAAATCAATAATTATAGAAAACAAAAATTATTATATTTATTTCAGGAATTTTACAATTTTATAACATTGTGAAGTCCCTTAATCCTAAGCCACTCAACTACACTTACTTTATGCAAAAAACAAATTCCATCACTTAATGAAATTTCGTAATTATGACATACGGAAGCAAGGCCTGTATTATGTTGATTTGCGATTTCCTATTTCGTAATGTACAACGCAACTATCGAAAGTGTTATTTCGATATTTAGTGAATGTTGAGCACCGTTGATGTAAACAATTTCTTTCAAGTTGGTTACGAATGCGTCGCGTGTATCGAGAGCTGTATGACGCATAGCTGAAGTATGTTGTTGAACGCCACCGAAGGAATTTCTATGAAGTTCTAACTACAGAAATGCCAAATGTAGAAAGTCTTATTGGCATTTTGTAATGTTCAATAAAAGGATACTCGTGCTCTTGGCGCAGATTAATCATCATCGATTGAGATTTCGATATCGCGCGCTTTTAAAAGTGGCGTCTTATTTTCGTTAAACTAGTTAATCATGTAAAAGAAATTTAGTTAATCTCATCATTAATTAGTTAGAAATACGATTGATTTCTTCGCTATTCTTCCTACAAAAACTTTCGTCGATATAATAAACGATAATAAATAAATGCATCTAATAATGAGGTTCATATAAACATAAGGCTTTTAACATATGTATACAAGTAGGTATACAGTACAATGTAAAATATTGCGTGCTACAAATTATGTCAACAAATTTATAAAGTTTCCGACTGCATTGAATTTGAATCGGTCCAAGATAAAACTAAATATACCTTAAATTCGCATTCAATCAATAATATATAAAAAGAAATGAGAAAGATTTTAATTTAAAGAGCTTAAATTATTAAGATATAGACAGCAGTAGAATAATTTTTATATAATAATTTTTATATAATAATTTTTATATAGAAAATTTTGTTTCCTAAGAAAATAAACATCTTAAGTGTTTGGATATGACCAGTTCAATCATAAGGCAAGACAGAAGAGGTGGCATTTATTATTCACACCTAGAACGCTTCTACTAACTTTCAAACTAACTGCAATCAAAAGTGCTATTAGTTAAACGTTACGTCGATGAAGTTAAGCAAATTCTCGACATGGTTACACGTACAATAACATATCGATGTGTTACATCTAGTACGTGTACATTAAGGTCCATGACACAGGGAAGTTCACGTCGCGTTTCTAAATGGACTACTAAAAAAGTACTAAAACTCGTTTAGTAGTCCGTTCAGACTACTGATTTTAAAATCCGCGCCACGCGACACGGGCACGTGCGCGACGCGTCGACTTTTGTATCTGCGCATTCGACCACGTCTCGTGTCTCGAATCCAAGTGCTCGAAAGTGAGCGTCTCCGTTGATTCTCTCGTCGCCACGTATTCGTCACGATGAACGCATGGATGCAGTATTTCAAATCTATCCCGACGCATATGGTGGGTAGCAGGATGCTCGAACGATCGGATGTTCAATGGATTATTGTCTGTCATTCGCGATTAAGTCCAAGGCATAAATTTGTTATTCGCGAGGTTAGGATTACGGCGGCACCGTATGTCAAACGTAATCGCAACTTTCGGAGCATCGATTCGGAATGACTTGTATCGTTGAAGTGAATCTGTCAAACGTTCGCAGTTTTATGACTAAATGTCTGTACACGTTATTTTTTTTTTTTTAAGTCTTACATGATGCGATATTTGTTTTAGGATTACGATGGTCAAGCTAGAGCGGAGAAACTATCTCGAGTCATAATAACGTTATTCGGAGTAAGTTACAATTCTTTGGAAATCTTGAAAATATTCTTTAATAATTGTAGCACAGGAACTATGCATTCTTATAGGTGGTTGGCTTAATTTGGGGATATGCCATTCAGCAATTCTCACAGACAATTTATATTTTGGGTGCTGGATTCGTTATGGCTGCATTGATTACTGTACCTCCGTGGCCTATGTACCGCCGCAAACCATTGGATTGGCAAAAACCACAATCTGAAGTTATCACAAAGCTTAAGAAAAAGAAATAATTGCTAAGCATATTTATAATATCTTAAATCAGAATTTTTAATGTAATATTTTGTTCATCGATACGAATTTGATTGTTGAGGGTGCAAATGTGTGCATACCATTGAGCATTTATTTTCATGCAATTATGATATGAAAATTCCTAATGTATGAATACATATTGGAATAAGTATGAATGCATTTCAGATTTCTTTCTTTTTTGTAAGATACACTCGTGTTAACTATATTTTTTTTGGCTGTAAAAATATGAATGAATCATAAAATCATATTGCATTTACATGCAAAAAATGTATTTATAAACTTAGATAATAATTCTATAAATAAAGATAAATCAGAGAACTTTAAAGTGTAGTTGATAAGATTTTTTATATTAATTCGATTGTTAAGGAAATAAACTGTAAATCTGTTACTTATAAATTATATATGATAAAAATAATTCTATCTTATTTATTTCCCATATTACGTGACACTCTATCTAATTTTTTTATATACATTATATAAAGAGTATTAATATTTATAATTAAAACGATTAATGGTATTTTAATCAATTTGACATTTAATCCAATGTATTTATGAGTAATACACCGAATAGAAATATGTATAAATTTGTTGAACGACTAATCTGAGGAAATTTTTTCAAATTCGAATAAATATTATTTCATCGCCACGTATGAAATAATATTATTCATAACGGTAGCGTCTCTATCGCATAAGTGCAAATTCAGAAAGTGTGTAAAACACGAAGCGGCTTATAAATATATAATCAAATAATTATATCGCTTCGATTTTCCATTACAAACGGTTACGTAAAAAGGAAAAAAAAAGAAATCCGACGTAATCCGTATACACTTGCAACAATTTCGCATGGGTAATGGCGTTTCGCTTCCGCAACGGAACCACTCTCTTATATAATTCTTCGTTCCAGAAAAGGCAATAGCCGGCACGGATCAGGCATTGCCTCTCGCAAATCGTCGGTCAATTTATGCGTCCTTTGCGATTACGGCACGTCGTCGTTCTCTTGGTCAAACTCGTTGGACGCGTTCCAAATGTTTGACTTTCATCGCTTATGCCGTGACGTTTTCTCCGATTGCAATCGATTGTGACCGTTATTTCCCTCAAAATCATCACGTTTATTGACTTTCACGTGCGGCTTTGCGCAAATACGATAATTGTCATGAGAAAAAGATCATATTCGGACATGATGCAATTAAGTTAAAACTCTTGAAGTATTCTCTTTCTCTACTTACACCGCTTTTAACAAGCAAATAAGTTTTGTAAATTAAAATAAATTATTTTGACATACTAAATACTTAATAATAAATCACTCACCTTTAGGCTGCAGTATTACTATTCTCGATCCTTCCCAGCTTCAGTCCCAGTCTCAGCCTCATCTTCCTCTTCCTCTTCCTTCTTCTCCTTTGTAAGAAGTTCAATCCATTTTAAGTGATAATTAAGAATTTTTTGCTCGATTAATTTTTAAAAAAGGATTACGTTTTAAAATGAGATTTTTAAAATAATCGAGCAATCTGTATTGTACCACTTGAGATAGATTGATCAATCATCATTACTGCTTCTTTCCAGCATACTCACGTGACACTCACTCGCGAAACACAATTAACCATTGTCATCGCTGATTGCGCGTACATATATAATTTTCACAGGAGGACAATCGCGCGATACTTCGAGCGGCACTCCCGATCATCGATCGGACGCATCTTACTACGTCGGAAGAACAATAAGAATAATGCAAAATACGAAAAAAAATAGAATCGCAGAAAGCTATGAAGCACCCAACGCCCCGTGATGTGCCCATATTTACGCAACAGACGGAACGAGGGGGATAGTTCGAAAATGTAACGCGGCCAACTTCACGCAATACCCGCCGCGGTGTGATGACGTAATCATTCTCCGTATCTGCTACTTCGAATTCTACAAATGCTAGACAAATAGCATACGCGCGCGTTTCAGAGCGACTACTAGCTCGTATCCCGACACAAATGAATAAATACAATCAGTCGAAATTAAAAAGAGATATGTGTGGAATGTGATATCTGAAAGTATGCTTCGCCGACTCGCTGCTCTCGCGCCGTAGGTTTCGATTGAAAAATCTCGCGAAATACGAATCGCCGAATGTACGAACATCGAATTTACGCACTATGCGTTTAACGGACACTAAAGTACGAGATTAAGCTGACTATACTTACTAATTGAACGCGTCGCGACGTCACTCAATTCGGCATCGATACTCGATACATTTCGTTAATGAAAAAAAAATAAGAAGACAGCAAGACTAAAAATACTTTCCGAAAAAATCCGTCAAAGGATATTACACGCATAATATTTGATCACGAATATTTAAATTTCGCGAGAAATAACAACCGATACGAATTACTCTCCGTTCTTCGCTTAATTCTTCATAGGGAAGGATTACATTTTCTCCCGACACTTGTCGCGGGCGCGTCTCGAAGGATAATGACGCGTCACGCGGAGCGGCTCGCTCTGCCTCTGTTGTTTGCTTGCTCTGTCTCTCTCTCGAGTCTGCCTTGTGAGCGACAAGGTGACTGCCGCGTACACAATAGTACGTTGCGCGCGATACAACAATGACCGCCCGAATATTGTTTGGATTATACGCGGCTAGGGTATTATTAAAATCATCAAAACTAGGACTTACAAGCCAAAAACCACGGACATTTCGATTGCAACCCCCGGAACAAAAATGCGCTTAAATTAATAAAATTGATTAGAGAACGGTAAATGAAGCATTATTTCACATTCTAATTGTTCATTAGCATTCAGAGCAAAGAGAAATTTGAACTGGATACTAAATAAATACAGACTATTTTGATTAAAAATAGGAAGTTTTGTTATAAGTTTAGTTTGAATTTTATTTTATTAGGTATTAAAATTTAAAAATTTTAACTCTTTTATGTGTTATTTGGTAATGCAGAGTAATACGAGAGGAATCAAAACAAAATATTTAGAAGAATTTCTTGA